ACCTGTTTTGTAGCCAGCTTCTTCCATGAACTGAATAACTTGTACATATCATTAGTTGCCTGTCTTCTCCTGGGATCCAGCAAAATCTTTCTGGTCTTCTGTGGAACCACCTTTTCCTCTATTTCTCTTGTGTCATCTTTCTGTTCTCCAGCCCAACAAATGTAAGTGCCTTCCTTTGAGTGCTGTATGGAGGTGGTGTTTGAAGGCTTCTACAGATTAAGTTCTTTTATTTATTTATTGGCTGGTAGAGCTACAGCTGTGATGCTACATGGTCCATGCTGGCACAAGCAGTTTAATAGAATAAATGTTTTCGAGTGAAAAGTAACTTAAAGAAAGGGAAGGAATTTTTCCAACCTGGAACCTGTGTTAGATAAATATAAAACTTCTTCAGGTGTTTCCATTTCAAGTTTTCCTGCATAATCAAGCAAAATGCCCAATTCTTTTAGCCCCTTTAGTAATGGCTTGCCTCAGCTATGTTAGCCAATGTGTTAGTTATTCCATATGATGCTGTGAGAAATCTCTTTATAGTTGCCATTTACCCTCAGAGTTGCCTTGCCTGCTGCAGGCAGAGAAGCAGTGCTGCCTGGAAATTGCTGCTTCTGCCCAAGATTAAGCCCTGCTTGTGGAGCATGGTTCAAAAGCTTTGTTTAATCTAGTATTTGCCTTTGATTTTGTCCAGCAACTTACTACTATGTGTTTTTAATAGTTATTAGTTCCATTCTCATGAAGCTTTAAAGCCAAAGAGTATAATATTTAGTTGCACACATTTTAGGCACTGAAAAAAAACTTGTCCTGACCATCTAGTCTGGTCTCCCCCCACCCCAGGCCAAGTAGCCAGCCCACTAATTCCTGATCAGGTCTTAGACACAGAGGGTTTGAACACCTGATTCAAATTCTCTTAAAGTCCACAAAAAAGTGTGATGCTATTGCTAGGGGGTTGGTTTGGCATTAAGAAAACTGTTCATTACCACAGAGGGAGTCAGTGCGTGAGCTAGAAGTGGAATGGAAAAAATCGGACAAAAAATTGTGAACAGATAAATCTTGGTCCTTTTCCCATGAAACTCTCAGAATTTATGGTGCTAAGGAAGTTTGTTGTTGTTGTTTTTTAAACTGTCTATGAAACTTGTCTTATTTCTTGACCTTGTTTCTGAATGATTTTTTTTTTACGAGTCAACCTAGCTGCTGTTTTGCAAGCATAAGATCACTATGTAAAGAACTATAAGAAAGACTAATTTTCAACAGAAAAAAATCTAGAATTTAACACAGGATAATTTTGCTTTGAGCAGAAGCACTTGCTTTTCAAATAGTTTTATTTGTTTTTCTAATGTATTTGCTTAACAGCCCCAGGTTGTAGTATGTCATTCTAGACAGCTTTAATGCAACATTTATTACTACAAATTAACACTGGATTAAAGTAAACATTTGTATTATAAGCATATATTTCTGTGTTAAATTATGCTGATAGCTTTCAGATATTTATGTTTAATGAAAAAAAAGACTTTGAGTGTTAATTGAATGTTTTGGTTTCCCTGGATTTCACACCCATACACTGAAGCTTTTCCCAGGTGTGAAAACCTATCCACTGTTCAACTTCTCAATTGCAAATGCAGTGTTCACTAACTATCTGATGTTAGTGGAAATGTTAGGTATCTTTGAAGATTTTCTCTGAGCTAATAGCTACTATTTAAATCTCTTTTTTTTTGAAGCTAGAGGCAAAAAGTTCTTTGATCTCGGTAGGTAGTAGGATTGATCCAATATGCTGAAAATAGTGGGGTTTGTTGTTCGTGTGTTTGTTTGTTTTTTGGGCAATTTGTGACAACAAAGCTAGCTGTATTTTGGGCACATTCTTATACACCTGCAACAGTGAGTCTGATCAACAAGGTTGCTGACAAGCATACCATGTGTCATAAATTCACCCTAATTCAGAGTCCTACTGACACCTTTACTTGCATTCCTGTTCCCTTCCAAGGGATGTGCATCTTGACTTCCATTGTGTCATAAGCTGCCTGAATGGAAGATAGGCTTCTGTGTATTTTTGATGGAAGAAAACACATTTGTTTAACTTACCATGTCATTTTCTTTTCATGTACAAAGCACACTGATAACATAGGAAGCACCATCAAAATGGTTCACATATGTAGTTTCTGCTCTCTGAGCAGGGCTAACTTTGGTATTATGGGTCTTGCATAAAGGATTTATAGCTTTTTACACTTCTCCAAAGTGGAAATGGAGATACTCAGTATCTCCTTTTCTTCAGCCTTCTCACTGTTCTGACAACACTTATTTACATATCATAGCTTCTAACTGAGCCTTCACAAGAAGGCATATGGCACCCTAACATCTTAAAAAGAAGCTAAAGCTGTAAAATGTATGACTATAAATGCAAGTAGTGCAATTGAGTGGCTGTCTCTGACAAATTATGATCAGCCCTGACATATAGTGCAATTCTCAGTGGTGGTGGTGTTTACATTCCCACAGAAGCTGCAGCAAGGATGTTTAGAGGTTTTGCACACCAAGTTCCTGGTGTAGTCAGGTGTCTAATGGAAGGGAAAGCATTTTCCAGTAATCAGTCCACCTCAAGCTGTGATCTTGTCAGATTTCATAAGCAAAATGGCTGGGCCTGGTCAGTGCTTGGATGGGAAAACTCCAAGGAAAACTAAAGTGCTCCAGGAAGCGGTGTGGGTAATTTAGCCCCTGGCATTCCTCCCTCCATCTGAATAAATATTGAACCAGCCTCTCTAACCATGCTGTTACTGTAAGAAACATTGTGCTGCTGGTGGAAGATGCAGAGTCAAAGATGTCAGCAAATGGATTCCCTGAAGATCTCGGGATACTGTTCACAAATGTGAGCGTGCTTATTGTGCTATACATGCATATTCATAAATAGAGACATAAAAGCTACCTAAATTCTCTCACTGGTTAAATTAAGTAGTGCATCTTATGCATTCTGCTCTTACTTGCAATTTCCTATCAAAGCAGTTTGTTAGCAGAAAAGTTTTTTTTTGTTTTTTCTTGTTTTTTTTTTCAAGTATTCATAATACCTTTATTTTGTTTTCTTTGTTTTTGAGTTATATGAAGGGGTCTTGAAAAATACCTACTATTGAAAAATATACATAGTGTCTGATAAAAAGTTGAGTGTTCCAAGTCTGAAAACTTTGGGAGTAAAGCAGCTTCAAAAACAGGACTCTCTTTCCTGGTACATGAGGAATAGAGCCCCCCAGATGTGTGGCAGTGGGTACAAAGGGTAATGTGACTCGGCATAGGAGATGTTTTCCAGACAAGAAATCTACAATTGCTGTGAATCAGCACTGTGGCAATTCTAAACTGAAATGTTTGATCTTTGATTTTCTGCTAGAAAGCCATGTCTCTTTTTCAGGAAAAAAAACAGCCTGTTTTCTTCCCAATTGCATTGCTGAGTGTACTTCCCTTTTTAAAAGGCAGCAGCATCCCACCCACATTTCTGCATTTTTTTCAGCACATGATTTATATGCCTTCCTTATATTTTCTGTTTACCATGAAGCTCATCAGCAATTGTGAGCAGACAGCTTCTGTCTGGTTACAGCACTGGCACTCAATGTCTACCCCTGGATAAACTGCGTGATCTCTTTTTATCCTTGTCTGTCACACCTCTTCAATGACATCGTCTTCACTGGGGTGCTGGGCAGCCAAAATTCAATAGTTTTAGGAACCTCCTTGATTCTTTAGGCTAAAGAAGTTACAAAAGGGAGTCAGCTGTGGTGTATGTTGAAGATGATTTTTTTTTTATTGCAAATGTACATGTTATGCTACTGATAATATACAGAAATTTAAAAATCTACTGTTTCATGATTACAAAACTTCACAAAATTTGTTACAACTAAAAAAATCCACCTTCAAGAGTATATAAATAGAATTTTGAGCATAAATAATAGTAACAAAATAAACAGATGTATGCATTCAATAAATTAATTATAAATATTGCATTGGCAATGAAGTGCTAGGTCAGAAGAACACTGGTGTTTCCAGTACAGTTTCTTTGTACAGAAATCTATTATAAATGAACCTTTAGAAATGAGCAAAATCCCTGAACCTTTTTTTTCCACATTATTTTTCTTGTTGTTTTCAGGTTTCTTATTCCTTAGTCAAGTTGTTGCAACAAGAAAACTGAACTGAAGGCATCAGACATTTACCTCTTGGCCGTAACATATCCACAATCTTTCCTTGCACGGTGAATTGTACGACTGACCCAGTTCTGCAGCATTCAAGTCACTAAACCGATTGGAAGCCTGAAAGGCCTTAAAGGAGCTGCTGATATTTCAAGGTAAAACATGAAAACTTATTATTATGCAATTGATTTGACCTATACATCATCCATTTTCAGTCTTTTTCTCCATTTGCTAAAGACCTACATACTTATATACAACAGAACTTCAGTTACTGAAAACTAATTTGTTGGTACTACTCATTTCCTATGATGAACATAAATGTGTACACTTTTACCCACATATGGAATTCTTGCTCATGTTAATGAGGAGTCTACATTGAATGATGCAGGCCCCACAGTAAACAAATAAGCCTATAAAGGAAATCAAAGATTCAGTTTTCCAAATTACCCCTTAGCAATAAGGGAAGAAAGCAATATTTCCTTTTCTTCCCTTATGTCTTAGGGGAAGAAGAAACACAGCATGCAAGCAGAGTGTTTTTCACTGTTTTCCAAAATGTTTTCCAAAGAGAGTTTTCCCAGAATGTTGTCAGCAGCTTTCCAAGTGACAGCATTTACCCTAGTTCACCCAACCACATTTGCTAGATCTTCCTTAATCCTGTTTTGTTCCCAATGTTTGTCTTTAAGGCCTATGAACCTAAAAGATGATTAACCTCCCTGTGAATGAAAAACATTTGCTACATTTGCTCCTGTGAGCAAAAATTACAGGTGGATATATATGGTAATGAGCTTGGTATAGAAAAATTATAATTCTGTTGTCACCACTGTAATGGGGTAGCTTTGGTGGTTTACTTTTTCATATTGAATCTTTCTTTTCCCCAAATGAAGTATGGATAGGGAGGCAATTCTCTGGAATACAGCCTCTGAGCAATCATATCTTCCAGGTATAAGACATTGTAAGCAAAAGTCTGGCTCCATACAAAAAAAAAAAAAGTTCAAAATACTAGTACATGAAAAATTTAAAGCCTGTAGTGTTCTGCGATTTCTTTGACATCAACTTTGTAATTGGAGTCATTTCTGAAAGCTTGGGCTCTTCACTGGAGACAGTTTGGAGGAGATTCCAAAGGGATCCATGCTGTCAGTTTCAAGAGGCGAGGAATACACATCTGATTCAAAAGCCTGGCTATAATCACTAAATTCGTCAAAGTCTGTTGATTCCACAGGCACAGTGTTGATCATAGGTAAAAAGTGAGATAGTGGAAGAAAATCTTTTCCCTTGGACTGCTGTCTTTGCTTTGCACTGCTCAAAGACACAGAGATCCCATGTTTCTTTGATTTATATACGTTGTAGCCATCTGGGCGTATCTCCTCTTCAAAGGAACAATCTTCAGTAGAATAGCTGAGCTGAAGGGCAGGGAGGAAAGGAAAATTATAAATATGCCTACGGGCCCTGTGCCTGGCAGCTGCCAACACAGAGATGTGAGGAGGCTGGCAGGTAGGATGCTGGCCCTTGTGCTTCCACACATACTTCTGCTCTGAGCACAGAATAAAAAGCATCTCGATTGTCAGTGCTCCTTCAGATAAACTGCTATTCATTGCTGCCAATACTTAACTGTAGTCATGAGACCTAATCCAATAGTCCTGGAGTATAAAAACCCTATTTCTATCAGAGATTTGCTTAAAAGTCTCAGGTTCAGGTCTGTAGAAAGGCATCAGTGTAAAGGACAGCACTTACACAAACATGTCTATCAGAAAAAAAATATTAAAAAGGTAGCTGCCAATGTTTTTACTCAGCGTTAATAGAAATTACAATAGAAACTAATTAATGCAGTATAATTTTCCCATTAGATATCAGTTAGAACTACATGTTGTATAAGAATGTGAGTTCAAATTTTTATAGAAGAATATATTTAGTATGAATTTATATTAGGTATGAATTCATACAAATGCATTTGTGATACACTGCCCGTGTATTAGGATTTTTTTTTTTCTGTTGGCAGGTTAGACCTTTACAGGTCAGTATATATCTTACAGCTCTTGTGTTATTTCTGGCTCAGCTGCTACAGGTTATTGAACTCTTGGTCAATAGAAGCCCATTGCTGGTTATATTTGAGTCATCAGTGATAAAAGCATTCTTACATGAATGCTCTACTTATCCAGATTTAACTTAGAACATAGCTGATACTTTTAAGTCCTTTCTCAAGCCCCATCACTAATACAGAGTACAATTAAATGTATGAAAAAGGTGCCTTTTTAAAGGCACTTTTCCAACCATTCAAGTAATTCACAAAAAAGGCATTTTCTCCAAATGGAATTAGACAATATTTATCGTTTTACACATATATCTATGGGGGGTGGGAGGGGCAAAGTACATATAGGATACAAATTGACGGTTCAGTCATCATCTGACCCTATTTTTATGAGTTTTCAGCCGTACTGATGACAGGGATGAAATACAAAGACTTCTTGAGCAAATTTGGATTACGAATCACACAGTTGTTGATTATGATACCCTTGTATCTCAACTATATCAACCATAGGCTGTGTATATAATATGATAAGCATAGCACGAACTTCTGCACAAACCTTGTTTGCTTGGCTGATAGTGCAGAGGCAGTAGCAGCCTCAGCATTTTTGGTGCTCAGAGGGGTATAGCTAGCAACACAGGCAGATCTTGGAGCAAGCGGTCTATAGGAGAGAGAAACTGCAACTCTCGAGAGAAAGCTTTCCTTTACGTGTTTAATTCTGCTCACTTATGTGACTTTTGTCACTGAAGCCAGCAAAACGATGCTTGAGAATAAAGCATACAGATCCTGTCTGCAAAGCCGATATGGATACAGGCCATTATGTCTCTTTAAAACATTGTGTAATTAATACTATACATCAATAAACAGTCTCAGTTAAGGGTCACAACTTTCAAAATGCTGTTAAGAAATCTGTTTTAAAATTGTGTACCCACTACAGATGCAGTCTGTAGCTCCAGTGCTTAGTTTTCACTGATTATTTTGGTTTGGATATACATTAAAGCTTTAAGCTAATAATTAAGCTAATAATAAATAAGCTAATAATTAAGCCAATAATAAGTAAGCTAATAATTAAGCTAATAGTAGTGTATAGATCTTCTGAACCTCAAGACCTGTGCACCTTTGGTGCATTGATTTACTCTAGCCAAGAAAAGTGAGGAAATGCAGAAGGGCTTCACCTGTGTTATGGACTTGAGCAATAATCTCATTAAATCATTCTTGCTCTATTAGAGACACTGAGAGTTTTGACAGTAGGCCAAGTTCTTGCCCTATTGAAATCAGCAGAAATTTTGCCAGTGTAATCAAAACAGAATGAAACGGTGTTTACTATGGCTAGTAACAAAAGTACTCCCTTCTCTGTGAAACAGGCTTCTCTAAAGCAGTTAGGCAGAGGCTCAAGTGCTGCCCTTTACGTTCTAGGGCTGGAGCTCGCTCACACAGGCGCAGTTTGGGTGGATGATTATGCTGAGCTGATGCGCTGGAGGAAAAGTGTGAGCGAAGAGCGTTGCATCAGAGCCTTGCTAAAGTGCCCAGCCTCCGAGTGGCCTGCAGTGCGTGGCTGTGGTCCAAGGAGGGTGACCGGTGATGGTCTTTAAACGTAAATTACATTTTGCTCTGTATTGTAGTTTCAGAAAGGGAAATAGTAGAATGGTAGGAATAGTGCTAGGAAGCGATGTTTTGGTGTGCTGTGCTCCTCTAACAGCCCTGGGGGCAAGGGACAAAATCGGGCTGCGCCTCCGAGTGGCCTGCAGTGCGTGGCTGTGGTCCAAGGAGGGTGACCGGTGATGGTCTTTAAACGTAAATTACATTTTGCTCTGTATTGTAGTTTCAGAAAGGGAAATAGTAGAATGGTAGGAATAGTGCTAGGAAGCGATGTTTTGGTGTGCTGTGCTCCTCTAACAGCCCTGGGGGCAAGGGACAAAATCGGGCTGCCGAAGGGAGGTGGGGTCCAAGCCGCGTTCGCCCCGCGCAGCCCCGGCCGCGAGGAGCCCCCAAAGAGCCGCTCACCTGTCCGCGCAGCCGCCC